AAATGTGGGCGTTTACTCTTAAAATTAAAGAAAAAATCCTATTAAAGACAAAAGTAATTCAGAAAGTATCTTAACCCTTAAAAGAGGTCTTAAGGTCAAAATTGTTAGGAGTACGGAGAAGGACTTTTAAGAGGCTTAAGAGTTTCTTTAGCAGAGGAGAAAATGGCAGAAAGACGAAGAGGGAGAAGAAATGTGTTGCAGACAATGGATGACAGTGAGTTAATAAGACGCTATAGATTGACACCCGGCCCGAATTTTCCTTTAAGGGTGGCCTTGTGTTCATCCACTAACTGGGCTAACAGTAAACACTGTTCCTCTGTCCAGTCGGGCTTTCTCGTCCTTCTTGGTTTTGATTCCATGTTTGTTACATTAAAACCAACATTCAAACCACCACTTAAATAGACATGCCAGCAATCAGTGTAATTGGAAAGAGTGGAACAATTTTTATAATTCTAAGCTAATCAAATACCTTATAGGAAATGAACAGCATGGTAAATAAAATAAGGATTTATATACACATATATAATGGGTGTGTGTGTGTGTGAGAACAGTGAAATAGGAAAAATTACGCATGTAATTTCAAAGTGAAGGCTTATAGACCCTATACTTAAAATCACCCTTCTTGGACAACCAACCAATCACAGTCTTCAAAAGATTGTGTCATACATAGCAACGGGGTCAACTCTGCCTCCTCACTAAGATTAAAGTTTTTGTCTTTTCCTTACTAAGAGTTGCTCTCAGATCAGTCCCGAGTCGCTCTTAAGCTAAGACTCCTACATACATTTTTTTAAGCTAAATTAAGAGTTTTCAGAGAGGATTCTTAGAATCTTTATGAATTTTTATGGCCCAGATTTTTACTTGCCCTGTCAAAATGCACTTTTTTTTTTGATCCATGTAACCTTGTAAACAGTGATTTAAGATTTTTAGGTAGGTCTAACAGGTCAGATATATACAGAAATTGAATAAAGTTATCAAACTCTTCACAGTCTTCACTGCATACATTTAAATTAAATATAGATTATTCCTTATTAAGGCTACAAAAGTTATTCCGTCAAAAGCAGTGAGTGATTTTCTCTTTGGTTCTTTGATTATCCTTAACCCTTTCACGCGTACGATCACACCGGTGTGATCAGTCTTGGCTGGTCCCTGAAGCGTATGATCACACCGGTGTGATTAGAACGGTCAGTGCATCACGTGATCAACTGTCAAATTCAAACGTGCTTTTGCGCGTTGGCTGGCGCTGAGCCAGACGCACTCAGTGCTGTCATCACAACTATTGAGTATTTTAAACCACATAATGTTTATTTTAGGTTTCAGACATTTAAAAACACATAAGTACTAGCAAAACAATGATTTTGAGTTTGTAAAATACACACTGTTGTCTAATATGGAAGCGGCAATAATAATCCTTTCCATTATAATAAGACGAAACGTTTTATTCATATCAGATACACATTGTGTAAGTAGCTTTACATTTGACCCTATTCTTCTCCCAGTTCACTGGCCACTTACTTTCATGTATTTCGTGAGAAGCAACAGATCCGATTCTCTGAACTGTGAAACAAACTAACATGGCGCCGCCCATCGCGCATACAGCTGAACTAACGCGATCGTTATAAAGGTGTTTAACCAACAAAACACATCCACTTGCACATATTTGACAATCGGAATATCAGTGTTTCACGCTATAGCTGATACATTTGTGAATATTTTGAATAGAAAAGGAAAAAAGACATAAAAGCAGATCATCATTCATTCAGCTCTGTGTTGTGATTGCGCTGTGTCACGTGACAAGCAATGACGCGTCACCATGGAAACATTAAAGTGACAGGTTCTAAATAACGGTCGCCTTGAAAAACTCACGCTGGGGGGTCAGTTCGAATATTTTAAACTTACGTGTGAAAGGGTTAATGACAGACAGCAGCAGGTTTATCAGGCTGCTGTCACTTTAAGACCTGCCGCACCACACATGATGCGGATCTGATACGCATCCCATTTTCTCCCAACTCTTTACATTCATTTAATGCCCGGTACACATTGTACAATTTTGGGCTGTCCCAGATGAAAGATGACAAATCGTGGCAATTTCTGTGGCTCCTAAACGATGGTACAGTCAGAGAGGTTCAAGGATGGTTGTTGTCACTGTCTTGTGAACAAAGAAGCCTGCGATAATTTTCTGACAGTTTTAGAAATTGAGCATGATCATCTCAGTTTGCTTGCTGCTACAACCTATTTCTACTGGCTAGCCAATAAAAATGCAACATGAAATGGTGTAACGGGACATGGCGCTAAAACTTAAAACCACTTACCTCAAGCTCCATTTACAAAACTGGTATGCCATTCCTGGTACCCTCAAAGTGTGATTCATTTTGCTCTATTTGTTTGCCACTAGCGCATGCTGGTGACGTTTTATTCATCGTACATTCTACATACATGTCCTACCCAAGTTTATTAGATCCATGTCCCAGTCAGTCTGCCACAGATGCAAGTTAGTGCATGTTAATTTTGCCAGCCCTTATATATGTGTATATATAATATGACCTCTTACACCACTGTTTCACTTTTACTGTGAGTTTTGCTTTGCTGAGCATTTTTGGGTAGCGTCTTTGCTGAATAAAACTATTAATTTTTTTTTTTTTTTTATCTTACTGAAATCAACTTTCTAGTGCTGTATATTTTATGTTTCTCTTTAGAAGTTAAAACCCTGAAAAACTTCAGGGTTTGTGTGATGCCTCAGAGAAATGCAAATCTCTTGCTACCAGCTGTGGAGTAATGGGTCAGTGTTTTGGAAATGAGATGTCTCAACCCCACATACAGCACATTTTGGTCAGTTTCAGCTCAGTTTAATGAAGTGATACAACAGCTAACTTCCAGGGTGCCTGAAGTACCAGGAAATGTTCCCATTGAGCATTTGTTTGCAAACAGTATTTTTTTAATGTAGGCCTATAGTGCTCTTCAGTTGGCTTAATGGTTATTCCATGTTGTGATATATAATTTTTTCCTTTCCATGTTGGGCTTTTATGTCTTACTTTTATTGCTCTTTCCAAGGCAGCATAAGCAGCTTCAGATATTAAAAACATGAAATGACAACCCTCTACAATGAAGAAAATCACATGCATATGCGACCAAATTTCACAAGAGATGACTAAAAATTTAATTAATTAGCCAATGGCTAGTAAATTGTACGATTCCAGTCACCTGTAATTGAATTAGAGGCAAAAAAAATATGTTTAGCACAGATATAATTTCATTGCCAACTGAGCTTTATGTGCCGTCGCTTGATTTTGGTCAGTCACTTTGGTGTTGCTTTCTCTCACACACGCGCTTTCACCGTGAGAGAAAGAGAGAGCACATTCAGGGCTTGTTGACTGAACTGTCACTGTCTCAATCAGACCAGTGCTGTGTCGTCATGAAAGTTTATAATTTGCACAATTTGCCAATTTAAACATTCAAGCGCAAGAAGACTCGAAAGGTAGTAACGCACGCTGTGTGAGCTCGCGACCAGAAAACCGCATCTGACAGCATGTGAATACTGAATTAATCTCTCTTTCAAGTCTTCTTGCGCTTGAACGGACAATTTGACACAAAATGATGTCAAAATGTCCGTCTTGGCGTATATAGTATCCTAGTAAACATAGTCGGTTATGTCTTAAGTGAACGTAAAAAGTTTAGAAAGAAAACGTGTGTGTATACTATCAGTTTATTGGATCTGTGCATTGTCTTAAAGTGACAGCAGCATAATATTCCTGCTGCATTTAATGTTAATCAAACAACAGACTCACTGCAAAAAAAATGCTCTTGACTAAATAACTTTTGTAACTTTAATAAAGATTAATCTATATTTAATTTATACAGTGAAGATGATGCAGTGTTCTTTTATATTTGATGAGGCCACTTTATTCCATTTCTTTACCTAATCTACAGAAATGCACACTGATTATTTCATTTCCTATCCCAACATATTGATTGCTTGCTAATGACTAAAGAGGAGGCTCTCAGAAAAGTCCAGAGCAAGGATTCTCCTAGTAGGAGTGCTGCTGTACTACACTGTCCTGTATTCATATTATTAATTCTAGGAAAGCCATTCGTCGCTCCCTATCCATCTGTCTCTCTCTCTCTCTCTTTGTTTCTAGTCTGTTCTATATTTGCTCTGGGCCCTGCAGGCTCTCTGTTTTCCCTCATGCTGTATCCCATCCATCAGTATTTAAAGAAAGAGAACATCACTGTGTCCTGACAGACATAATTATTAAGAAAATAGCAGCGGTTTTTCTTATTGACGAGTGCTGTGGATTCTTTAACACCATGGTAAATAACTAAAACAATCACTTTTTTCTCTGTCTCTGTCTTTCTTAAGCTGGGGACACACTTAGCGACTGTAAGGCTGATTATGAATGTAATTTGATACTTAAGACTGATCATGCCCAAATGCGCCGAGTTAAGTGTGTCCCCGGCATTAGTCTTTTTACCTCCATCCTTCATATTCTGCTCTCATCTTATTGTTCCACATCAGGATCTCACAGTTGGCAAATTACATTCTATATAAGTTGTGAGAATAACAATTTATATGATTATAAAATATCCCGTTTGTTCAGTAAGGATGCTTTAAACTGATTAAATGTAAAAGTAGCAGAAAAATGTATCACAATTTCCACAAAAATATTTAGTAGCACAACCGTTTTAGAGCTGAAATCTCAGGCCCGGATCACACAGAACACGTTTTTGCGGTGTTCACAGATCGGTGGAATAAAAAAAAAATGCAGTCCATTTTTTAAACGTTGAATTTCTTCATGAGCAAGTTGCTGCAAGTTAAATTGAAAAACAATGGAAAAGTAGCACAGTGGAATGCAAAACACATTCTGTGTAAACAGCCCTTACACTATATAATTTAACATTCAGAGTTTTCCACTCTTTTCACTCTTTTTTTTTTATGGCTGGTGTTAATCCCATTGGTTGACTGATAAATCACTTAAAAATCTCTCTCTTTCTCTTCTTCGTCACAGAGGCTACGAGGACCCCATAGAGGCTGAATTAATCGACGAAAGACACCCCTACATCCATGGCATGTATCCGGCACCTCTTGCCCAACCCGAGAGGGGCAGCATGGCCAGTCTTGACCGCATGGGGGGCCGTCGCTCCCCCTCGATTGACAGCATCCGCAAAGATCCGCGCTGGAGGGACCCCGACTTGCCTGAGGTCATCGCCATGCTAGGTCACCCCATCGATCCGGTCAAGTCCAACGCCGCCGCCTACCTGCAGCATCTCTGCTATGAGAACGACAAGATAAAGAAGGACGTCAGGCAGCTGAAGGGGATCCCAGTGCTGGTGAGCTTGCTGGACCACCCTAAAGCTGAAGTTCATCGCAAGGCCTGTGGAGCTCTGAGAAACATCTCCTATGGCAAGGACCACGATAACAAGGTAGCCATCAAGAGCTGTGATGGGATTCCTGCTCTCATCCGCCTGCTGAGGAAAACCAATGACATGGAAGTTCGGGAACTCATCACAGGTATGATATGATAATCTTCAGCTGCGCCATTACATACTGGAATTTAGCACTGTGACCGTAAAATTTTTTTTTTTTAAATCGTAAAATAGGTTGTATAGGGGCGTTGTGCACCTCATTTTGTAGTTTTCTTTTTTGGGTCATAATTTTTGGTGTTATTAATAAGACATGACCGAAGAAAGTTAAAAGTAGTAGTTCAAGAAGTGTAAGACGTGTCTGTCTGGTAGAATAGTTTTTGTTTGGAGTTGATTGAACTGACTAAGACATGTGAATGTATGACTTCTGCCACAGCATTTTGTGCAAACTTCGTTTTTGTGTCCTGCAACTTACAGTAACTATTGAAGATAGCTGCATTTATTTGACCAAAAATACAGTAAAAACAGGAATATTGTGAGATATTTTTTTAATACCACAAAATTATCATTTTTTAATGTAGGCTACAATGTAATTTATTCCTGTGATGGCTGAATTTTCAGCAGCCATTACTCCAGTCTTCAGTGTCACATGATCCATCAGAAATCATTCTAATATGCTGACATGCTGCTCAAATAACATTTATTATCAGTTTTCAAAACGTTTAGACTGCTTAATGTTTTTGAGGAAACCGAGAAAAAAAAAATTCATGATTCTTTGATTAATGGAAAGCTCAAAAGAACAGAAACCAAGTTTGTGTAAGAGTGTAAAAGTTTCTGTCAGTTTTAATCATTTAATCGCTACAAATTGTCACTTCTGACCACTATAATCTAAAATTTGAGAAGGGCATGTTTATGGTGGAGACTGTGTGACCCTAACCCTAAACTCTAACGAAATTCAATTCCAGATAAATCAGGCTTTACCCTGTGTGACTGCCTGACCAATAAAAGTAATATTCAGGCCAATGACAAAAATAACCTTTCATCTTTTTAGCTTGTTCGTCCTAAATCTTCTATGATTCATTCATTTGTATTTTTCTCATTTCAACTAGTCATGCTTGGCAAGCATCCTTCTAATACTACCCACAGGCCTCTCGCCAAGTTTTCACGTTTAAATACCAAATGAGTCCAGACTGATGTTGACTGAATCCAGGTCAGTCTTTCAGCGGGACTGCAGAGCAGGGTCTTGCATGTCACTGTAAGAACACTCTGAGGTTTATGTGTCTCCTCCTGGGACCTTAATCCCATGACCTGACATACATTTACTATATCATGGGGAACGCAAAAGAGATTCGGCTTCAGACCGAACACACAAAAAACACAGTGGCCAAAGAAGCGTGCTCATAATGACATTGACTGATGCTTCTCCAGACCAGACATTCAGCTTTTTCACAGACCACAGAAAAAGTTTGTGGTGTGTGAAATACCTGAGTGAATCCTTGTATTGGGAGTGTGAAAGTGACGTATAAGGCTCAGCAGCCTCAATGATTATCTTTACAGCACAATGTTGCTTTCAGTTTAAAATAGCTTCTCCTCTACAGGATGGAGGGAATATAGTGTGTCAGTTCCAAACCGAGCCCTGGAGAGCCGTATGGTTTATCTGCAAAGGCCCCTATGAAAACACTGCTCTCACAATGGTCTTTCACCAGCCTGGAATGTTTTTCTACAATTAAAAATAATTGCAGGACTTTAAAAATAGGTTCACCGTGTACTGTTGAATCTCATGGCTGGTACCCCTGTATCGTCAGCAGCACCATTTGCACCCTCATCCAAGAACCTCATTCTGTGGATATTGCTAGTACTTTTTTCTTTCTGCTTAGAATTTTTAATTACCTTTTCCACTTTTCAGCATTATGTTTAATTAAATTGTCCGTTTTAATTTGGTGACCCTGTGTCAAAATGTTCTTCATGTGCTTTGAATATTTAGCAGCTCATATTAATATTTTTATATTAAAGGAACACTCCGACTTTTTGGGACTTTAGCCTATTCACCTTATCCCCCAGAGTTAGAAAAGTCCATACATACCTTTTTCATCTCCGTGTGTGCTATAAGTCTGTTTGACGCACCCACCGCTAGCCTAGCTTAGCACAAAGACTGGATGTAAATGGTTGCAGCTAGCATACTAATCCAAATAAGTGACAAAAATAACGCAAACATTTTCCTATTTACATGTTGTGATTTGTATAGTCACAGAGTGTACAAAAAACGAAGTGACATGAGACACAGACATATTTTAACCGTATAAATACTGGGAACTATATTCTCTGAAGGCGACTATATTCTCTGAAGGCGAAGCACTGCTACTTGGGCGGAGTGATAACCGCAGCACCTGAGACGCGCCGTGGTGAGGAGCAGAGAGCGCGTCTCGGGTGCTGCGGTTATCACTCCGCCCAAGTAGCAGTGCTTCGCCTTCAGAGAATATAGTTCCCAGTATTTATACGGTTAAAATATGTCTGTGTCTCATGTGACTTCGTTTTTTGTACACTCTGTGACTATACAAATCACAACATGTAAATAGGAAAATGTTTGCGCTATTTTGTCACTTATTTGGATTAGTATGCTAGCTGCAACATTTACATCCAGTCTTTGTGCTAAGCTAGGCTAGCGGTGGGTGCGTCAGATAGAGTTACAGCACGCACGGAGATGAGAAAGGTATGTATGGACTTATCTAACTCTGGGGGATAAGGTGAATAGGCTAAAGTTTCAAAAAGTCGGAGTGTTCCTTTAAGGTGGTCAAGACTGATACAACTTCAAAGCAGCATAGCTCTCCGTCTTAAATGTTAAAACTTGTCTTTTGAACTAATTTATCATTTAATTACAACTGAACGGCTATAGCAGTATGTTTATACCAGTGGCTGTGAAGCATTACTTCCTTACTGCGTTTTGTATCTTTGTATCTGACGCAACTCTCCAACTTGCTCTAATTCTCTATTTCTCTTTATTTTCTCTCTGTTTTGCTCTGATTGCAGGCAGTATCTAGCTGAAACAGATTTAAACTGTAGTTCCTCATTCCGTAATCCATGGTTACATTCAGCGACTTTTTCTGCTAGTTTCATCATTGCGCCAGTAGGTGGCGACAAGTGACTACCTTTATGAGGGAGTCAGCGAGTCATTCTCATTCGATTTGTTCAAAACTTTCACACAAATTTGTCACTTGCTAGAACATGAACAGGTTGTGTGATGCATTCTTATCCTCGAAAAACGTACAGAAAACTGTGGAAGGTAAAATAAAATATTATCTAAATTACATTAAATAGAGCCATTTAGAAACCAATAATAATAACTAAATGATTGATTTTGATGACTTTTGTACTATAAACCAATTTGGTACTGTGTTGGATCTCACAGTTGGAATGATTCCTTGTTCATATTCAATACTGTTTGTGTACTCAAAGGTCTATTTGAATCACCTAATGATATGTAAGGACATTAGAAAAGGCCACTAAACATAGCTTACAAAATGACATTTGTTCAGAAATTCCAGAAGTCCAGAGTATGGTGGCATTTCTGAGATGATTACCTCGTTTACCCTTCTTCCTGTTTCTTTCCCTCTGACTCGGATGTCCAATCAGTGTATGATGAATGGCAGGGGGCAGGATGGGACTGTAATAGCCCTAAGTGAATGGCCTGTTAGAACAGCATGTCTGCTGCTCCCAGGAAATTGAATTAGCTGGGAGGCTCCAATGACAAGCAGGAAGGAGTAAACTCAATCAGGCTGCACCTCTTGCGAGGTTCAGCTTCCCTCATGTGGGTTTCATTGGCTCCTTTTGTATTAGATTTGTGGGATATCCAGGAACCTGCAAAAGATGGCAGGGGCACCAAACAGATACGACACCAGATTACATAGTTTTTACCACTATATGGTGTGTGTGTGTTTGAACAATTAGTATTAATATATTATTATTTTGTATAAATATACACAGATGAGCCAAAACATTATGACCACCTGCCTAATATGCTGTTGGTCCTCCATGTGCTGCCAAACCAGCGCCGACCCACCGAGGCATGGACTCTACAAGACCCGTGAAGATGTCCTGTGGTATATCTGGCACCAAGACGTTAGCAGCAGATCCTTCAAATCCTGTAGGTTGCGAGGTGGAGCCGAACTTATTGGTCCAGAATATCCCATAGATGTTCAATTAGATTGAGATCTGTGGAATTTGGAGGCCAGGGCAACACCTTGCACTCTTCGTCATGTTCCTCTCCAACCAATCCAGATTCAGATCTTTAATCCTGCCAATTTCTCCTGCATCCAACATGTTGATTACGAGAACTGATTTTTTTGCTTACCATTTAATCTAGTACCCAGACCTTAATATGTGTCCTTGTTAGGAGATGATCAGCGATATTCGCTTCACCTGTGACTAGTCATAATGTTTTGGCTCATCATTATATGTCCCTCTTTTGTATTCAGTCTAGGAGATTTAAATTTTATATTAATGTTATATATTAATATTTTATATAAATATCTATAAATTGTTATATACAGGTGAAACTCGAAAAATTAGAATATCGTGCAAGTTCATGTATTTCAGTAATTTCAGTATTTCATGTATTTCAGTAATTCAAATTAAAAGGTGAAACTAATATATTTAGTATATATAACTATATATTTAGTATATATAACTATATACATATGCATGATTATACTTTTCAGAGGGGCGACATTTCTGTATTTAAAATCCTTTTTTTTTTTATTGATTTCATGTAATATTCTAATTTTCTAAGATTTTGAATTTGGGGTTTTCATAAGCTGTAAGCCATAATCAAAATTATAACTTTTGCACGATATTCAAATTTTTCGAGTTTCACCTGTATAGGCTACTTTACCTAACTGGTAATACATCAACATCAAATAATGAGTCGTGGTAAATTCAAGGTATAAAATGTATGACAAAGTCAATTGGCTCTAATTTAGCAGGAAATTTATTTGACCAAACATGCAGTAAAAACAGTAATATTGTGAAATATTATTACAATTTAAAATGACTGTTTTGTTCATGCATTTTAAAATGTAATTTATTCTTTTTCCTGTGAGTAATTTCTTAAAAGTAATTTCTGACTGTGTCCGTGTACATGATTGTAATCACTGGTTAAAAAGGCCTTTGACTGCTCCAGCTTCCTCCTGTTGTCTGCCTCCTATTAAAGCCAATGAAGTGAAGTTAATCAGCATGTGCTATGTATAGACCTCTACATCTCCTCTGACTACAAGCCTATCTGACACAATAGCACATGCACGAGCGCATGAGCTGGCCGGTAATGATCCATGCTCCTTAATGTTCCACTTTACCAAGTAGACATTCCCAGGTACAGCAAGGGCCATGTGTACGGCATCTGTTATCTGGGCTTTAACCAGGGTCTTATGGCTATTCAGCACCTAAGAGGTGATGGCAATGAAGCCTCCTTGCAGATGGCAGTACAAATTTGATTATTATTAGAGGGTAAATAGATTTATTTTGGGGGCTAAAAGAACCCGAGCCCTCATTACAGAGATCTATGACATGTTTATAGACCTCTTGTCTCCTGTTGTAGTTTTTGTCAGCAGAAATGGATCTGGAAATAATTGCAGAGCGAGAAGAATAATGATGTGTATGAAGGGCAGGAAAATAGATTCAGAGTTGTATCAGGATGTACACTTGTATGAGTTCGTAGTCAGCTATGTAAACACTATGAAAATGCCCTCCGGTCCAGAGACTTAATTTTTGCTAACCCAAGAGAAGACAGTTTATTTATCCACTCTACATTTCCAAGGGTTGCAGTAGCTGAACGTTGCTTGCCAAGTTAATAAAACAAAGGCTAGTCGTAACTGTAGGCGTATATACGTCTGCTGGCTTATAGCACAAGCTTCTGTTTTATTGTCTAGAAAACAACAGCCTGTCCGCTTCACATTGTTTACTCTGAGAAATTTTTCTCAAACGTTGCTTCTCCTTAACATTTTTTCCTTTCCAATCCTTCTTACTTCTATAATGGAGGTTCCTGTCAGGAAACTCAGAATCGATGCTTTCATAATGCGTGGTGCAAGTCAACAGATCTAGCAGCAGTGCCACTTTTTGTGTGTAGCTCTTGTGTCATGTTAAGAGATGTAACAGATCCTATTTTCTCATTTCTTTTCTCTCTCCTGCTTCTTTTTTTAATCTCATTGCACCTGTTAGGAACACTTTGGAACTTGTCCTCCTATGAGCCACTGAAGATGGTGATAATTAACCACGGGCTTCAGACGATGACTAATGAGGTCATCATCCCTCATTCGGGCTGGGAATACGAGCCGAACGAGGACTCAAAGCCACGAGATGCCGAGTGGACCACCGTCTTCAAGAACACATCTGGATGTCTTAGGTACACTGGTCTGATTGACAGCCTCTTCACCATCCTCGTCAGCTGACCTAGAACAATGTCAATGAATCCTATTAGTCTTTTAGTTTTTGCAAGTTTCTGCAAAAGCCTTTGACCCATGTAGTCTATGCTAATTTGATTGCTAAAAGGTTTTACATGAACAAAAGAAATTAATTTGTGTTTATTAAGATGGTCTGTCTCTCTGAGTGGTATTTTAGTATGATTTATATACTAATATAGTATTTATTCATATTTTGAATTAGCTTTTATTTTTATATTTTCAGTTTTCATTTGAATTTTAGTTTGTTTGTAGCACTTTACAATAAGGTTTCATGTGTTAATATTAATTAACTACATTAGTTAACTCAAACTAACAATGAACAATACTTCTACAACATTTATTTATACTAATGTTAATCTCAGTATTTACTAATACATTTCTAAGATCAAAACTTGCATTTGTTAACATCAGGTAATGCACTCTAAAACATGAAAACTTTTATTAACTAACATAAAAAAATATTTTGTTTATTGTTAGTTCATGTTAGTTAATGCATCAATTAATGTTAACACATGAGACCTTATTGTAAAGTCTTAACAGTTTTGTTTAGTAATTTATTAGCATTTAGCATTTTTATTATTTTCTGAGATTTTTTTTTTTCTGTTACACTACTTGTTATATCACTTTTCCGTTATACCCCACAAAATTGGCCAGAATCATAATTTCTATTCATTTTCTTCTAAATTATTTGATCTGGTGAACATATTAGTGGCTTCTAAAACTGTCTCTCTGTGTTTTCACTTCCACAATTGCTGTTATGAGTCAGCGTAACATCATTAACTGCACTCTGTCACAACTGTCACTCATATTATGTGTTCATAACCCGCCTTGTCTCTTCTGATGACGAAGTTCCACTACACTTTCGTGTTCTTTTCGGTACATACTAACCCAGAGAAACATTTCATGAAACATGAAGCTAATAAACATACGATTACGACAAGCAGCATATGATTTGAATGTGATTTTCATGTAATTTGGGCTATTTTTATAAGAATAGTTTACATGAGATGTTTACATGAGAAATGCTAAGCAGGTGTAGTAAATAACTTATTCTAAAATGCTACAAATAAACAAATTTCTGTCTCATCATTTGACCAAAATCCACGTTAGATCGCAATCGGAAGTTATTACAAACATCCTAGGGTAGTTTACGTAAAAGTTTTAAGTAAAATGAATTGTCATGTGTAGCTTGATGCTAGCTATAATTCACCTGTTACCCAGATACAGTTATATTTCATGATGTATGTTGTCAAAAGAATAAACATAAGTTGTAGAGTGTGCAAGACATGCAATGCCAGAGTAAAGTAATGCAACAACTTACATTTGACAACGGCATTCTTGTCATCTTTTCTCCCTATAAAATCGAAGTAATGGCAATATTTCCAGTCGCTGAATGTAAGATTTTTCCATATTCCAAGCTAGCTTGCTGCAATGGTGACATCATGTGCACGCGTGAGTTGTGAAGACTATGCAAATTAATGTAGGAATGATTTGATTTCAAATCAGTAGGGTTTGAAGCAACAAAAATTACATGGTAATGAGCTATTTTATGGATGGTAACTAATATTATTACTGAAATCATTCGTTATTTGTTACTAATTTGTTACACTACTGATTACTGCAGAAAGCAATGTTATTATGGCAATGCTTTACTGCCCAACACTGATTATAACTAGATATGGTTCCTGTGTAGGCCTACTAGGGGTAAAAGACTTAGAGCCAATATAAATGTTTAGCTTTGAGAAGATGATCATTTTTGTCCATGGGAACAGCAGTTAAAATGAGCTGTTGCCAGTGTTGGGAAGGTTACTTTGGAAATGTAATAGGTTACAGATTACAAGTTACCCTATTTAAAATGTAATACGTAGTATACCTATATAAAAAACAGTAAAAAACTGCATTATCATCATCATCAAGGCCTTTTACAGCGCAAGCGCAGATCTGAACGGTGTCTAGCATGCCGTCTTTCTGTGCAAAAATCTGCATACTATCCTTTTAACCACTATGTGTGTGTGAAGGGAAAACATTATACCATAAGGCCTAATATTGATTTCTAGATTCTAGTTTCATACTCACTGGCAACCCAAACAGACTCCCCCAGTGTAGCTATCATTTTGTTTATACTCAGTGACCAATCGTTGTGTAGTTAAATAGCTCTATTTTGCAAGTCAAAACAGCAAACTAATAGAAGGATTCGTCTACTAGGTGGCGCTTAATGTTAATATTCATCATAGGAGATGCTTTCTCAGGATCGACATTGACACCTTCAGTGTCGATGGCATTTTAATAGTTGGCAAACATATTTTGCACTGTTATATTTGCGCCCTATTCTAATTTCTGGATGAAATGATTTTTACATTTCCAGCACTGGAACGCATTTTTATCACTCGCCATAGTGGCAACTCTCAGACAGGTTGTAGCCTAGCGGCAATGTGGATTGATGTAATTGTCAAAGAGCCAATCAAAAGCATCAGAATAGCATCGCTATACTAAACGGCCTTTAAATGGCAGGAGGCATCGTGCACATCAAAAACAGGCAAAGCAACACATTTATATTATTCAACATATCCTAGCTTTTTACAGAAAATATCCAGATTTAACCCCCTTTGTAATCGTTAACATTTTCATAAGTAACTGTAATTTAATTACACATTTTTTTCTCAGTAACTGTAACGGATTACAGTTAAATGTAACTCCTTTACATGTAACTAGTTACTTCCCGACACTGGCTGTTGCTATATGAGAGACAACTGATATAAAATATAAAACTGATAAAAAAGGAAAGTGTGAATAGACAATTTTGTATTAAACTTATTTGTCTTCTGACAAACTATGAACAAAACTATAGAAACATCTCCAAATAATAACTAAAGGCAAAAATCAATAGTGTCTGTTATATATTTAACCATTATTGCTCTTATGTTACAAACCTCTCTGTAGACAATGATCCTCTCCTCTGGGGGTCATTCAAGCAGCTCAGCTTTTGATTAAGATATCCAGTCACTAAAGGGCTTTATATCGCCATGGTTACCATGCATCCTGCCACAATAAGTTAATTTTTTTTCTTTCTTGCACCCTCTTCCGTCTCTAAAAGGCAAGAGAAAATTGCTGTATATGAAGTTGATTTGACTTTTTATCTGAAAAGGATGTCTTTTTTTCATTCAGTGTGGTCTTTGCATGTCTCAGCAATTATAACTGGGCCATGGATCCATAGCCTATATAATAATAAATGTGTTTTGAATCCCTAGCTTAAACTGTGATGTCTTGGCCATCACTGTCCTTGTCGAAACAGCCCATTGATTGACATGAATTGAGCAAAACTCATCAGATCATGTTACCTTCCTCCACTGATGTGATCTTGGGCTCAAACAATGTGATATAGTGCTATGACGATGATCCTTCTTTTCTAGGATTCACATATTATTGTTGCACTCTTGACATTGTGGCATTAAATCAGTTTATTGTTGCCTTGTTTGGCTGTGACTCTCCTTGTTTGACCTATCTAGACTTCCATGGCAATGGCGGATAAGCCTCCACACACAGGTCTGATTGTCTAAATCAGCTTGCTAGCGGCAGAAGCAGGTCATTGTAGTTCAGTTTCATGACCTCAAGTGCTCCCTTTAAATCCTTAATCTTGTGAGTAGGTACTTCGAACACAGTGTTGTGATCTGGTTGTCCTTGGTCATAAAGGGCAATATCTAAAATGTGCATGGTGAGGGGTTGATTGATGTGATCTGTTGTTATGTGATAATGTAAGAGGTATGATTCAGATATGGTTATATTCATGTCTGTTCCTTACCACACTGTTGATTCCACATGTATCAGGGGTCTTTCAGAAGCAGGATTTGGATGCTACAAAAACTCGTCGCAGAAAGTGTGTGTGGTATATTTCACCACTCACCCTCTTTCTTCTTCCTTTAATTCCTCCCTCTCTTCTCTTATTTAAGCTGTGTCGTGTGTGAGCTCAGCACTGAAGCTGTGTTTTCACCCTCTGTTTCCTCTCTAGCAGCCAGGCCTCTAATCTCCTGCTGCTACTGCTGGTTGTGCTGCAACCTGCTGGGCCAAGTCCAAATTCTGCTTGCTTCTCTATGTGTGACTCTACCTCCCTGCCTTCATCCGCCCTTCTTAGTCTCTCAGTCTGTTCCTTTACTTTTCAAGTATACCATTTCATAGAACATCTCAGATATCGGCAAAAAGAAATCTAGGTAGGAAGCATGGACATAATTGTTTATTTATATATCCATTTCTTATTGAGTTTATGTTGATGTCAACTAATATTGCCCCTCGAATAGAAAATAATATATTCAAAACCGTAACATTCTGAAATAATATACTGTTTTCTTTTTTAATATATTTTAAAAATGTAATTTATTCCTGTGATGGCAAAGCTGACTTTTCAGCATCCTCACTCCAGTCTTCAGTGTCACGTGATCCTTTATTTAATCATTCTAATATGCTGATGGTGCTCAATAAACATTTCTTATTATGTCAATGTTGAAAACAGTTATGCTGCTTAATATTTGTTACAATTATTCTTTGATGACTAGAAAGTTCAAAGAACAGCATTTAGTTGAAATAGATATATTTTGTAACATTATAAATGCCTTTACTGTTACTTTTCAATTTAATACGAATTATTAAGTTATTAAAAATCGTATATATTTTTTTTTTTCCGATTTCTGCAAAATCCAGTATTGGTCGACCTCTTTCTTTATCTTAATTGTTACGACGAGGAACATCCAGGAATGTGTCTTCTTGAAAGTGAAATTTCTCCTTGCTTTCTTTTCTCTCTTTTACTCTTTCTCAACCTCCTTATCTCTCTTTAGCTCATTCTCATTTGCCAAGGCTCTTGCTGGCTATTCCCCTGTGACAGGTCAGTCAATATTATCAGGTTAAACAGTGCCTCAGCGGGTCTAAAGGATGCTATAGGGAGAGGTGCAGTTCAGCCATCATGGCATCATGTGTTTCCACATGCCACCTTTCAGCAGGTCACTAGCACACATCATCACAGACATGCGGTTGTGCACAACGCCACTCCATCCTCATCCTGTCTTTTTAGCCTCAGCTCAGCCTGTATCCATGGAAACTGTATCCTGTGACATCTGTTGCCTAGTAAGCTGCTTGGAGGCAGAGTTTTGTTTCCTGCCTCTCCTTGGCAGAGGGAGAGCACCCTTTATTTATTTCTTTGTCCATTGTAACAAATGTGCACATTTGTAATTCCTGATTAGTGTGTCCATGTCCAGTTTAAACTTGAGATGTTTGGAGGTCTTTGAAGTCCTAACACAGAGCAGAACTAAGCGATAAGTGTTTATCAGTGAGATTTTCACTTTATTTCACAAGATTTTGCCAATCTTTCCAGGATATAATCTCTTGCACCAGTCACTGGATCCTGTTATTGTACTATACAGAAATATATTAGGGCTGACAATTTAATATTTGAAATAAGACTATTTAATTAATTAAAAAATTAGAAAACACACACACACACACTATTTATTTAATTTAAAAATTAGAAAACACACACACACACACACATTTATGCCCCCTGACCTGTACATATATTTCCTGGCATCTGAGTAAATAATGCTTAAACTGCCACCAAACACTATATATATTTTTTGTTGTTGTTTTGTTTATTCAGTTATATGCCACAATATAATGTCTTGAATTCTCAATCTGTGATTTAGGTACAAGTAATTGTAGGCAGTATTCAGTATTGTGCTGACTGTACTTCAGTCATTATGGAGGAAAAAGACAGGTAGCTGTAAAAATGCAATCCATCTCTCTTATATCTGGATTGCAGCCACAACAGCAGCTGGACAATGTTACATTCCATATGGGTGTTATACTGCAAATGGGTTTAAATTTCTAATGCTGGAATTGGACCCATTTGTTTGGCAGGGTGTTAGTTTAATTTATGTTTTCTCCCGTTGTCATTTGATAGTGATGACTGTGGAGTGAGGCTTTTTTTTTATGTGTAGGATTTTAGCTTGGCAATCTAGTTATAAAAAACTGCAGCTTGAACAGCTGGTTGGAAAGACATCTTAGGGTTAAGAATGAAGAACCCAGATGGCTCCTGGTGCCTGCTCAGGCTGTGGACACAGAGGAGGTTCTTTTCATTTTTCTTATATAATGCTAATGTGATGGATTTCTCTCTAACTCTGACTATCTGCTTTCTACAAATGGCCACTTAATACTTCTCATACTCCAGCTCTCTGCGTCTACAAGTCGACAACCGCTGAGTTTTTCTTATCCTACTCTACTCAAGCTCTCGCGTGTACAAGTCGACAACTAGCTTCGAGTTCTCTTATCCTAACTTCTTTGCTGTGCAGCTTAAATGACAGACAGACTTGAGTAACTGTCCTTTAAATGTTCTTTATTACGGCCGGGAGTCTCGAGCAGTTCTCAAGAGAATCTCCCAAAAAGAAGCAATAAGCATGGCCGGTGGATCTCAGACAAATCCCATTGAGAATCCCCCGAGTAAACACAAATACAACAGTTTTATAGAATAAGGAGGTATGGCAAAATGACATGAAACATTACTTAATTTGATTGGTTCTTCATTGACAAGCCCTTTGGTTACTGGGTAACCAAACTCTGTTTTTAGTTTCGAGTTTAGACACCTGTCTAGTTTCATTTCCCATATTTGTTTTTTATACACACACACACGCACACGCACACACTCACAGTCACAAGTAATAATAATAATAAATAATAATAAATTAGGTTAGATGTTAGCCTAACATGGTTAGTTTAATATATATAGTTTAATTTTTCCACCACACTAACCTTGTAACCTTCTAATGTAATCTGTCCTCCATCAGGACACTGGTCATTTTAGCAGGTCTGAGATCATTAATGATGGGTAACTGAAAGTACCTCAGCAGAATGAGGCTTGAATGTGTGTTTAATTGGATCGGATGTCTGTATATCATTTATCATACACCAAAAAAAATGTACCCCAATAAATATAGTCACATAAAAATTAGTGCACACAGAGAAGCGCGTTTCAGATAGCATGTGAACCGCAAATTGATTCCTCTTTCGCATCGGACACATACACACAAAATTATGTCAAAATACCAGTCTCAGCAAGTATTCTCGTAAACGCAGTCGGTTGTTATGTATTAAGTGGACGTAAAAAGTTGAGAAAGAAATCGGATGTGTATCATTTATATTGGATCTGTGCATTCGGTCTTAAAGTGACAGCAACCTATGGATACCTGCTGCTGTCTAAGTCATTAATGTTAATCAAACAACAAAACAAAGATTGATCTATATTTAATTTATACAGTGGACACTATAGTGTTTTTTTATATTTAAGCCTAATTATTACATTTCTGTACCTGAATACAAAGTTAGACCTTACTTTATTTGTAACTTTGTAATATTGTATTTATCTATGCTTGTAATTAGTGTATTTGATATTTTACTGACTCTTCACTTGCCTTTTAATAATGTTTGAACTGTATTAGTTAGGCTAGTAGTTTTTGCTGTGATATTGAAATAATTAAAGTGTGCTTTAAGTGATAAATGGAAGATATTGGCCCCTTCAGCTTGTATTTACTTTTGCAAGAGCAGTTTGACTAAAGTTTAACTAATTAAATTATGATTAGTTTAGCTTGGCAAGCTAGAATTTCAAAGTAGCTTCCTCAACAAAAACTTCAGCTTATGATGTATAATCAGTAAAAATGCTTGCGCTTAATCATGCTTTTGCTATTTGCCATAGGAATGTGAGCTCAGACGGTGCAGAGGCTCGCAGACGTTTGAGAGAGTGTGAGGGGCTGGTGGATGCCTTGCTGCATGCTCTGCTGTCTGCTGTGGGAAAGAAGGACATGGACAACAAGGTGAGTATCTTTAGCAGAAGCATTGATCCATCTTTGTTTAAACATTATACCATTTCTGTCTTAAAATTACATGATTTAGGTCGTATGCAAAAAAAAAATATATATATATATAATGTCACGATTATAATATTGATATATTTCTATCAATATTGAAATCGTGCCATTAATATTTCGATTAAATATTGCATTCAATAAAATCATGCTGCCGCATTCCATCCAGTGCACCTTCCTTTCCTTCACAGTGGCGCGCTTTCATTCCTCCCCAAGCCAAACTTAAAGGGATAGTTCCCCAACAATGAAAATGTTGTCATCGTTTACTCACCCTCAAGTTGTTCCAAACCTGTCGGCATTTCTTTCTTCCGTTGAACACAAAAGTAGGTATTTTGAACACAAAAGTAGGAATCTTGGTAAGTCCATGGCTACTGTCAACTGTCTGGTTACCAACATTCTTCAAAATATCTACTTTTGTGTTTAACAGAAGAAAGTAACTCATACAGATTTGGAACAACTTGAGGGTGAGTAAATGATGACAAAATGTTCATTTTTTGGGTTAACTATCCCTTTAACATCCAAATCAGCCAAATAAGTGAGTGTTGTAAAATGCAATCTACTGTTGCTAAACTGGGACGTGCTTGATAATAAACAGTATTATTAAAAGTACATTAACCGAGAAAGAGATACTGTTCCCTGGTCGGCTTTCTGTGTGTGCACTCCGAGACCTATTTCTGTTGAAGGCTATTACTTATCTCAATACCACTGTTAGTACATCTTCCTAAAAAACCTAAAGCACAGTTTATTTAATTTTTATTTTTGTTCTGTTGTATTTTTTGTCGGTTTGGTTTGTAATAAGTTTCTTTATTCTTTTTGTTTTGCTGACTGTAACTGATTTGAGGACTTAATACTTACATTGATTAACCTAGTATTAGTTTTTGCTGAAGTATCGATAATTGTCATGAAATAAGACTTCAATCACCAATAATCATGTTAAATAATCGTGATTTCAATATTGACGATTTTTTTTTTTATATAATCAAGAAGGTGGATGTCTACTTAATGGATATGTTTATGCCACTGGCCCCAGGATCTTAACTTGAAACAGAGGGATCTTGTATCATCTTGAAAGAGTGATAATGTGTGATAATGACTGCCTTGCTGTACATTATCCCACTTGAAACTTGGCTACTTCTAAAATAAATTTAGAAGTGTAAATAGAGTGTAAATAGTTGATGAGACATGAAACCAGCACAGCTACGTTGTCATTGTCATTTTATTATTATAAAATGATTATTATTAAATGTTTATTTACTCTTTATTTGACAAATGGTCACATTTATACTATACTTTTATTTTTTTAATGTTTTAACATATCTTTTATATTATAATATATATGTTTTATGTTGATTTTTAAAAGCCTGTATGAAATAAAAGGTATTTCCCCCTCTATATTTAATTTCTTTCAATATTTCTCTCTTGCTGTCTCTTAGTCTGTGGAGAATTGTGTTTGCATCATGAGGAACCTGTCTTACCACGTGCACAAGGAGATTCCAGGGGCTGAGAAGTTCCAGGACCCCTCGGCTCTTCAGGGGCCCGGCTCTGCTGGCACTCAGAGGAAGAAGAAAGATGACGCAGGCTGCTTCGGTGGAAAGAAGGCCAAAGGTCATTATTGAGTTCTTCTTTGTCTCATCTATGTGCTTTATACTTCTAAAACAGTACTGAGCACCTTTATATCATTGAGCCTTGATCATCAACAGCCGGATTCTTCCATCAGCGGCAGGTTCATGGAGGGCAGTATGATCCTAGCATTTACACAACATCATAAATAGCAGTTCAGGCAGATAATAGGAAGCTAAATGATGCTCGAGTCTATTTGTTTGGCCTGTCCTCTGTTGTGGCTCATGATTCATAACTGGAGTGTGTGTCTGGGGTATCAGTGTTGAATCAATATTCATCTTTAACTGGATGTGGGTGTTGGTTCAGTGTCTGTAGTGCTACACTGTCTGAGTTGAATCAGTTCTTCCAAACGATGCACTTGTGTTGTCCAGGTACTCGTTCTAAATACAATACCAGGAGAGCTGATTCATTTCCAGGTTCCAGCTGATTTTTTCAAATCTATTTCTTGTATTAGTTATCCAGATTTTTGTTCTCTCAAATTAACTGATGAGAGACCTCTTGAATATATTAATGATCTGAATTAGCGAATTGATTCCCGAACAGACCAACAAGGGAACTCATCAAACAACTTGAAGGAGCAAAAAAGCAAGAATGTGCTTAAACCACTCATGGACCTTTTTAAATGAGGTTTGTTTATCTGTCAGTGGCCCTGCAGATGTACTTTGAAAATGCAAGTGACCTATATTTGCACCAGAAAATGCCCTTAACAAAAATTAAGAGATGTTTTCCCAGCAAGCTATTTAGACAGGTCCCTGGTCCCAGCAAAATGCTACGTGAGTTAAAAGGCATAATTTAGTCTTGTTCGCAAAACACATAAAGTTTAGGTTGCCATGTTGGCTTACCGCAAATTTAAGCAGAAAGTGTGTCGTTTCAGCACCACAATCATGTTAGAAATTATAGAAAATTAGTTTGCACTGAATTTATTCTTAATTATTAAAGTGTGTTAATGTCATATACACTCACCGGCCACTTTATTATGTACCCCATGCCAGTAACGGGTTGGACCCCCTTTTGCCTTCAGAACTGCCTCAATTCTTCGTGGCATAGATTCAACAAGGTGCTGGAAGCATTCCTCAGGGAGTTTGGTCCATATTGACATGATGGCATCACACAGTTGCCGCAGATTTGTCGGCTGCACATCCATGATGCGAATCTCCCGTTCCACCACATCCCAAAGATGCTCTATTGGGTTGAGATCTGGTGACTGTGGAGGCCATTTTAGTACAGTGAACTCATTGTCATGTTCAAGAAACCAATTTGAAATGATTAGAGCTTTGTGACATGGTGGAAGTAGCCATCAGAGGATGGGTACATGGTGGCCATAAAGGGATGGACATGGTCAGAAACAATGCTCAGGTAGGCCATGGCATTTAAACGATACCCAATTGGCACTAAGGGGCCTAAAGTGTGCCAGGAAAACATCCCCCACACCATTACACCACCACCACCAGCCTGCACAGTGGTAACAAGGCATGATGGTTCCATGTTCTCATTCTGTTTACGCCAAATTCTGACTCTAACATCTGAATGTCTCAACAGAAATCGAGACTCATCAGACCAGGCAACATTTTTCCAGTCTTCAACTGTTCAATTTTGGTGAGCTCTTGCAAATTGTAGCCTCTTTTTCCTATTTGTAGTGGAGATGAGTGGTACCCGGTGGAGTCTTCTGCTGTTGTAGCCCATCCGCCTCAAGGTTGTGCGTGTTGTGGCTTCACAAATGCTTTGCTGCATACCTCGGTTGTAACGAGTGGTTATTTCAGTCACTGTTGCCCTTCTATCAGCTCGAACCAGTCTGGCCATTCTCCTCTGACCTCTGGCATCAACAAGGCATTTCCGCCCACAGAACTGCCGCTCACTGGATGTTTTTTCTTTTTCGGACCATTCTCTGTAAACCCTAGAGATGGTTGTGCGTGAAAATCCCAGTAGATTAGCAGTTTCTGAAATACTCAGACCAGCCCTTCTGGCACCAACAATCATGCCACGTTCAAAGTCACTCAAATCAACTTTCTTCCCCATACTGATGCTCGGTTTGAACTGCAGGAGATTGTCTTGACCATGTCTACATGCCTAAATGCACTGAGTTGCCGCCATGTGATTGGCTGCTTAGAAATTAAGTGTTAACGAGCAGTTGGACAGGTGTACCTAATAAAGTGGCCGGTGAGTGTAGATTACACTGGCATTCAAAAAATTGGAGTCAGTATTTTATTTTATTCAGCAAGGATGTATTCATTTGATCAAAAGTTACAGTAAAGACATGAGTACACACATGCATGTCTCATTATATTATTAACCTTTTATCAAAATCAAGATCAAATAGAGTTATAAGGTTTTTCTCCAGTAAATTTCTGAGAATTTCAGACATACGTGTGCAGTAAGTGCATCGCAATGCTTTCATCAACTCAGGTCATAAAGGTATTATTGCAGCTACTGTAAATTGGCACTCAGGTTTTTTTTTGTTTTATTTTTGCTTATGCTGAGAGAAAAAAACATTTCTCAAACATTTAATAAAATTGTACTGACCCCGAACTTTTGAACGGTAGTTCTTTGTGTTTTCACTTAGCAGTAATGATCCTCAGCACTCAGAGGCGACAGACGTTCATAAGACTATGCTATTAAACTGAATGTGTTGATTTTCAGGCGGTTAGCTGAATATCCTGACTTTGACACAAGTAAATTTCTTAGCCAGATTTTCTTGAAACAGTTTATCTTCCATCACAGTAGTTGACCTGAAAGAGAAAACTGGCCGTAAAAGACTATGCATTTGATTATGCAAATGCCCACTATAGCAACCCAGCAGCAACTCTGAGAATGCAGAGCACACTTGTTACATTATGAATTGTTCTGACACATTGCAGAACACAATGGCGCATGGAATATGTGAATATTCTAACTTTCTTATAATCATTTAGTGAATTTGCTCCAAGAACTGTTCAACATGATTAACTATTTTTCACTTGAGAGAACTAATGGAACTGACTCTCTCCTAAACTTTATACCTTTTATAAACACTATTCTTTCCTATGTACTTTTGGTTCACAAATAAGTTCTGTCTGCTTTAATACACACACTCTCTGAATCTCCTCTCTTCTTCCCCTGCCTGCTTTTTTTCCTTATTGGTATTGCTGCTGTAGAGGAATGGTTTAATCAAGGTGAGTGTCTCTTCCTGCTTTTCCTCTGTCTGTCTGTTTCTCTCAGCATACACTCACTAATACCTCCCTGTATCTTTATCAGAATAAAATTGTCATCACTGCCCCTTTTGCACTCTTTCAACTTTCATTCTTAAACGTTCCTCTCTTCAAGGAACTGTCAAACCTGTACCGATTTAGCCAGTTCAAAGATCCTTTCAGCTGGCATAGTTCTGCGTGTCTGTTGTAATCTGTTAACGAGGCCTGGCTTTTACATTCTGTCTTCTTGCCCGTTGCTTTAAAGGGATAGTTCACCCAAAAATGTCATTATTTACTCACCCTCATGTTAATCTAAACCTGTATGATTTTTGTTTTCTTGCATAGAAGCCTAAAGGAGATGTTTAACAGAATGTTCACATAGCTTTTTCCATACAATGAAAGTGAATGTTGACCAGAGGCTGTCAAACACACAGTAAAAATGTCAAAAAGTGCCATAGTGCAGTCCATGTGATATTATCTACAAAATGTGCATACAATATTTGTCTGCAAAAAAATAAATAAAAAAAATCCTATGCTAAATGAGCACAGTATTTTGTTTTATTTATTATTTAAAATGTTTACAATTCTTTAAAACAATATAAATTAAATGAGAAGCAACACTGCATACAATATTAATACTTGTTTTCATAAATTGTATCTTGTCTTGTGCACAGATTTTTAAAAAAGATTTTAGGTTTGAAAAAAAATCTGTCAGTATCTTATGCAGTGTTGCTCCTCAAGTTTATCTTGTTTTTAGAATTTTTAAAGGAAAATAAATATAAAAAAAGAATAATTAATCAATGTAATTCATTATTTCATTTAATAACATACTAAACAATCACTAAAATATTCAATTTGTAGAAATTAGATGTTAAATGCTTCAGTGAAAGATTTTCACTGAAAAATGGCTTTGGTTTTGGTCTTTTCCTGTAATATTGTGGCTTCAGAGCACTTAATATGTAGTGTGTGAGTCATGGTGACTATTTTTAAGATGCTTTTTGTTGTTTTTGGAGCATGTCAAATATGTTTGAAACAATATGAGGGTGAGTAAATAAAGGCAGAACCTTCATTTGTACATGTAGATTAACTGTCCCTTTAACATGTTCTCTGTGTGTGATAGTGGAGTAGTACTTCACTCTGTAATAGACAGCCGTCCTCCATGACAAAAGTTTTGCATTTTTAATGGGGGGGTTCCACTCTTGGGAGCTGGTGTCAAGAGTTTGTCTCTGCATATCTGTGTAGTAGCTAGATTTATGTGTGGCACGTCTGTGACTGTGTATGTTTCTGAGACTTGGGTCTATTTGACATTTTCATACCAGTAAATTCCGTCTCTTATAGAGTGACACTTAAAACTGCTCTCTCTGTCTCGTTCTCTCACGCTCTCTCACTCTGCCTTCTCCTTTTTCACTTAGGGAGGAAAAACGGAGAGCATGACAAAAACTATGACACGTTGGACCTACCCAAGCGCACAGAACCCACTAAAGGTACGTCTTTATTTGACACCACCGAATTATTACATCTTTAAGCTGCCACTCTTCTGAAAAAGGGACAAGAAAAGACCTGACTCTTTGGTCTCTCTCAAAAAGAGAGAAATCTAGTCGTGGAAGGCAGGTGAAGTGAATTCCAGCAAGATACAGTCTAAAAATAGCCCTCTTTAGTATAAACCGTACCGAGGGTTGTACTGCACAAAATTATGGGAAATTAAGCTCTTTTCCAAAACTTAGTGAGCTGCCTACTGAGGGAGTATTCTAAGCCATCACTGGCACACTACTGTGAAATTTGTTCCAAAAGTTAGGCTTCTTAATGATACCTTGATTTGACAAATTTACTGTAAAGGCAATCACAGAATACATCATGACGAGCTCAAAGATGAGAGAAATGCACTACCGTTCAAAAGTGACAGTAAAGACCTTTGCTAAAATGCTATAAGTGCTGTTCTTTTAAACTTTCTATAAATTACCATTTTAAAAAACGGACAATTTAGCATTTGATTTTTAGCATTCTGTCATTACAGCATCAGAAATATTTTAGAATATTTAGTATTAAATTGACACATGCGTCAAAACAGTTTGTTGACCGTTTTTTGTTACATGCTATTTGTTTAATATTTGTTTAATGAAGATAACCGTTGGTGCTAACATGGCATAAAATAACTAGGCTATAAATAATAAAAAAAACTTATAAACTTATAAATAACTTATAAAACTTAACAAATAAGTCACTTATAAGGTTCCAAGACTGTTAGGATGCTGCATTAGTAGGCTGTAGGCAGTGAGCTTACTAGGTTTTGAAGCAGAGCTTCGGTTTGCACAAAGTGCATTGAGTGCACATCAGCATACAGAGATCCTCTGGGAATCCCAGGTATCAGGTAACAATACTCTTCTGCCTAGGCCTTTTATCATTATGACAAACACAGCCGTTATCCTCAGTGGCAGAGTGCTAAATAGTCAATGTATTTTAGTGCAACTGATATCCTTGACCAAGTTCATCCAAATAGAATGAGGCTGATTTACCCTCAGAAACACGTCAGATTGAGACCGTTCTGGTTACCATCTGTGTGTGAGATGGATATTCAAACCTTTAGCTTGTAATTGTCTGCAAATTAATCATAAGGCATGCAGGTTAAGAGAGAATTTAGACAAGATGTGTTGCAATGTAGTGAAACAGAACAGGGGTCACGAGACTTGCTGTCTTAAAAACCCTGAAAAACAGCAGTCTGTGTGGCAATGGCCATAGATGTCCGTCTCTATTTACACCCCCTCAACAGTCACCAGGGAGCCACTCAATACCTCTTTCCTTCTGACAGACTGGGATCTAGCATCATTTTACCTTTGAGCTCTACTTAGTGGGAGAGGAAAATGTTTTATTGAGGCTCATTTTTTATGTATTACTATAGATGAGCCACAAAGAGGGATGAAAAATGAATCATTTTTAGATGACCTGATTTTTTTTATTTATTTTTTATGAGTCTGTGAGGGAGATATTTGCTTGTGAAGACATCCCATTAAAGAGGAGAAATGCTGGTTACTGATCTCCCACTCATGAGAGGACCATCATTTGTGTTGCCGGGCTGTAAAAGAGAAAGATACAAGTGAATGAATAAATAGGAATAATGCTAAATCAAAAGTAGTCATCCAGCTTTAGTAGAGAGGTCCACATGTGTTGTTGGTGGAATGTTTTGTTTGCCAGAGGAAGAACAGTAGCTCATGAGCAGCTGCAGGCCCATAAGGAATCTGCAGAGTTTGTCTGCACTGATTTTGGGGGGAAATCTGTGTAATTCTTTGGTCTTTCTTGAGTCCACGAGGATGGATGAATTATCAAACAATTTAATACATACATTTGTATATAATATTTCTTTGGTGTTTCTGGAGTCCATGAAGATTGATGAATTATCAAACAAAGTTATATGTACAGTTGTATTTAAGATTTGTGAGAAATGGAATATAAACAAAAAATATAAAGCTCTTTAATTTACACTACGGTTTAAACATTTTTGGTCTGTAGGATTTTGCTTTAAATTGATAAGTGACAGTAAAGAAAAGTAAAGTAAATAAATATTTCAGTAAAGAACATGTTATGCCAAATAAATTATTTTGAACTTTCTGTTCATCAGAAATTCCCACCAAAAAATGCATCAAAGTTTATATAAGAAATGATTGACATCGGGCCGTTGAGTTGTTTAAAAAATAATGCACACCCGAAGTGGTAATGCGTGAAGCAGCAGAGCGGCCGTTACTAGAGGTTCGGGTTTGTAACTAAAGAAAAACGAAAGAAAAAATATACAAACACAACAACACGGCATCAGTGAGAGGAACTTCAGTGCAGCTGGACTAACTTTTAATCAGAGGACGGCGCTGAAACCATCAGCTGCCGATGCCATTCTCTTCATAACTCGGACTGAGAAGGATATATTTGTGTAAATAGTTGTCCAATACTTCGAAGTTTGGGATCCAAAAGGAATTTATGTTACTGTTACACCTGTTCACCCAGCAAGCTTTCATAATTGGTAAGTAGGCTACTGTACGTGCTTTTTCTGTTTTACTCCTGTGTGCTGACTGCTGAGGGGGCCGCTGTGCTTTGATGAAACTGCATTTGTTTACATATACTTGATTAATGACTGTTGCATGCAATCCTAAAAATACAGAATTTTGCAAAAAGTTATTTGTTGTGAGAAACCAATTTCGGGTTCGGGTCTGGTTCGGTCTTAAATTTTAACAGTTCCATCCGGGTCGGGTCCAACGATCTTGGGTACGGGCTGGGTTCGGGCTTCAGTTTAAAGCCTGTGCAGACCTCTTCAAGAACAGCAATGTTACCACCTCGCTACTGAGAAATGTCATGTAGCTTTTCAGTTGCAAATCTATGTTACTGATAAAGTTGCGGGGCAGCACTGACAACTTTCTGTGTACGCGAATGTTTCCGTCTGTGTCTGTACTGTATGTGTGTGCTTTTGTATGGGAGAGAGAGCATGAGAGAGTGCTTTCCATAGATAATAAAACGCAATTTTGTGGGAAATATTTGGTCATTTTCTTCCTATGATCAATGTCTTTGTGGATTTCAGAATTACTGTTGCATTGTATCAAATCAATAGTGTATTGGTAAGCAGGAGACTGGCTTTTGAATGGTAGTGTAGCCTACGTTTCTACACATTTTTAGGTTTAAAACACTTGAGTACATCTTGACTCCATAGGTGTTACAATCCTGCGGAAATCTGCAGTGTTCTCTCTGGACACAGATTCTGTGAGAGCCTGCTCAAAGGTTTGTGTGTCTGTGTGTGAATGTGCTGACTATTGCAGAACTCAACAAAGCCATGTTTGTGTGAGTTTACTGGTGTGTGTTTTCACTTTTCTCACACAGCTTTGAGTCCAGTTGACCCTCCGGATACAAACAACAGTCATCTATTAGTTTGTAAATATTTTAAGGGGCTTTGTTTTCGCAGAACGTTTGCCAATGGGTGTTTCACAAAGTAAATAATAGATGCTGGTCAGGAGATTCAAGGAGCAGTTTCAGCTGTTCAATAGCATTCTCATGTCTCACTTCAATATAGCCTCTATCTCATTAACATGCAAAATGGGGATTATTGATCTAGATTACAATTCATTTTGATGGTTTATCGATGTAAGCTGATTTTACCTTTTTATTTTAAGTCAAGCAAACAGATGAACTCTGCGCCACAAGTTATAAGTATGATTCAGATGGGACCCTCAGATGGGACCCAGAAAAACACCCTCTCCCTCACGTACTGCTCTAAGACACGAAGGTTGAGAATCCAAATGCCGTTTTATTGAAAGGGTAATCCACAATCGTAGTCGAACACAGGCAAAGGTCATAAACACCGGGTAATTAGTCCAAACAATAACAAACACAACAAGGCAGGGAACACAGGCAAAAGAGTAATCCACGGAACAGGCAACAAATCAAAAAACCAAGAGACATGAAACCAGGGAGAATGCGCGGAATTGCAGTGTAACACTAAACAAGACTTCGCAGATAATGAATGAGAAAACCAGGCTTGGTTGACACAAGTGAATGTGATAATGGATGAAGAGTCCGGGCAGTGAGTTATTATGGCAGATGTAGTTTGTGAGGGAATGACAATAGTCTGATGTGGAGTGCCCTCTGGTGGCTCTCAAGGGCACTCCAGCTGGTGACCTTTACACTCTCCTCATCCACTTTGCGTAGTTTTAATTATGTCCTTTCATCATTCATCATTATATTCTGTAAAAAAAAATATTTATTAGTATTTATTTATAGGCATCTGAATGCACTGGGCTTTGTTTTTCCTGTAGACATAAGACATAAACCTGCACTTGTTTGAACAGGAAAAATAACCTCTCCAGACTCTTTGCTGAGAAGTAATGAATACACAAGGATTCACATTTGTCCATGAGAATAGGATTGGGGTTGAGAAAAGGCAGGAGATCAGATGAATAGTAAGTCTGATCTGATGTCAGATGGGGATTAAGATGCAATAAATAGAACACGGTAACTGAGTTTGCATCTATTCTGAGCCTCTCTCTCTGTGTGATATATCCATACATCATAGCCGTGTGCTTGAGAGGCCGCTGTGACAGCTAAGAGTATTGAGGGATTTTGGTCGCTTAGCTAAACCTGAGACACACAGCCATGGTTTATTCACTGAGCATCTTTGTTGCGTTTTATGCCTCGATAATTTGATTCCAAAGAGGACCTGTTGGAAAACTACATGCCATTAAAGAAATAAAGGCTTCTCACTGTTGATTCAATAACTACAACAGTTATCAGACAATAGATTCTTTATTGCTCCATCACTTAACACAGCCGCTCTACCTCTCATAGAACGCCAGACCGAACAACTACTGAATAAACCGCGCTAACCCATAAAATGGTGCCCTTCACACATGCGCAGTAAAAGAAACATAACTTAACAATCTCCCTCTTTTTTTTTTTATAAAGAAAAAACTGTTCAAGATATAACATAAGCATTGGTTATTATTATAACAGGATA